CTTTTCCTCTCTCTCTCTCTCTCTCTTTCTCTACCTCTCTCCACAGCAGGGCACCTGGCCAACCCACCATCCCCGTCCCTGACCAGGGTCATCACGCGCCCTGCAAGCCTCGCCACATGTGCATAGACACGCCGCTCAGAGTCGGGGCGGTCGAGGGCCCTCTTGGGCCGTCTTGGGACCGCCTTGGGGTCCTTTGGGACCGTCTTGGGGCGATCTTGGGGGCGTCGTCGTCCTGGAGCGTCGGGAAGCCGAAAAGTCGGGAACGTCCAAATCCTTCAAACTCCTACGACAAGTCAATGATTTTGGCCTCTTGGGGCCCTCTTTGGAGGTCTCTTGGAGGCCTCTGGGGGTGTCTTGGAGGCCCATAGGACCGTCTTGGGGCCGTCTTGGGCGTCTTGGAGCGATCTTCCGGCGACTCTTGGACCATCTTGGAGGTCTCTTGGGGCTCTCATGGCCCGTCTTGGAGCTCTTGGGTCCTAGGAAGTCCTGCTTAATAAGATTTGGCAATTTGGGCTCTGGGCCCCTTAAGAGGCCTAGAGGATTGTGCAAAGGACCTGAGGACACGCCCACTCCGTGTCCAGCGGCACGGTGGCGGATAGCATGGTGAACGTATAGGTCTTCTTGGCTTGGGCCAGGAGAGCTCATGCACCACCGTCCAGGACTGCAGGATGGCCCTGGCCAGGCGTGGATGATCGGGTGCCTCCTGCGTATTCTCTCCATCTCTCCGTACTCTCTCCACCTGCACGCCCGCGGGCGGCGGCCATTCCGGCGTGGAGCCCTACGAATCCGGCTACCGTTGCCGGCCGGATGGTTTGTTGCCCCCCCCGCCCCGCTCCAGCCATGTGCAGAGGGGGGTTAGGGGAGGGGGGAAGACTTGTTAGGAGCACCCCTGCTTCTCAGAAGGCGCGGGCCTTCTCTCTAGATGTAAGACCAGCGCCCTCTAAGAAGCGGCCTCCTTCTAAGAAGCCTTCCCCCCTTCCCCTGCCCACTTGTGCGCGCCGCCGACCGCTGCCTAATTCGAGCATCGCCCCCTCCTGACGGACGCGCGATCCTTGTCTGGGCGGCCCCCGCGCAGGGAAGAGCTCGACGCGGGGGCTCCCTGGCGCGCTCCAGCCTCCCTTTGCTGCGGGTGCCAAGGATATGCACCACCACCACCACCACCACCACCACCACCACCACCACCACCACCACCACCACCACCACCACCACGACCACCACCACCACCACCACCACCACCACCACCACCACCACAACCACCACGACCACACACCAACCCACCACGGAACACCACTCACCCCTACCACACCCCCACCACGACGACCAACATCCACCACCACATCACCACGACCAACCACCACCACCAGCCACACGACCACACGCCACCACCACTGCAGTCCCCCTTCCTCTCCAGCTCTTCTTACCTCCCTCCCCATCATGTCGAGGGAGGGGGGTGGAGGGCGGTGGCGTAGGTGTATTTTTTTGGCGCCCCCCTACCTATACTCCCGTGCCGTGCCACAATCACGTTGCATCCCCCCTCTCCTCCTCCAGCCTCTCGTCTTCCCCTCCTCTTTCCTGAGGGAGGGAGGGGGGTGAGGGCCGTGTTGGTGATGCATATTTTTGGGCCCGGCACCCCTCCCGCCTCGCCTCGTCTGGCCCGCCTCGCCGCGCGGGATGCTTCCCTGGCCGCCGCCGCCGCAAAGTGTCGGTGCGTGCGCGTGCATCGGACGCCTCCGCCTCGCGAGCGCGGCGCGGCGCAAAACGATTCGCCCTGGCCCGGCAGCGCGCAGTCGAGGCGTGCGTGGTGGAGGCGGCTGGGAGTTGAGGTCTTGACATCGCTCGAACGTGTGCGTTTTTTTCCCTCGGCGAGGACCTTCGAAGAGCATCCTGGATCATCGAACCAACAGCAAAATTCGCGCGATACCGAAACATGCACCGGGGAATGGACGTCCGAGCGACGGCAAGAGGTGGCCCATCACTGGTTCTGGGTTCAATCTGTATGTATGTATGCATGCATGCTTGCATGTATATACGTATGTATGCATATATGTATGTATGTATGTATGTATGTATGTATGTATGTATGTATGTATGTATGTATGTATGTATTTATGCATGCATGTGTGTATGTATGCATCTCTGTGTGTGCATGTATGGATCTTTGCATTCATGCATACATGTTTGTTTGTACGTATGTATGTGTATATGTACATGCATGTATGTATGCATGCATATCTGTATATCACGATTCGCGCCAGCCCCTGTTTGGGAATGCCTTGGAACGGCCAAGGACTTTTCGGACTGCGCTGGCGCAGATCGTGACGTGACCGGAGGGGACAGGGGGGACGCGGGGCCGGTCACGGGCGCAGTGCGAGTCATGAAATCCATGGGCTCCAGGGTCATCCGGTAGAGGGAAACAATTAACGTGAGCACACCCCTTGCCCCCCAAACTCAAGGTTGACACGCGCGGGGGAGACTGCGGTCGAGGTGCAGCTCATCAGACCCACCGCCAACTTTGAACATTGGGGGGAGGGGCATGAGAGTGTTCGCTATTTTTTTCCGAGGCCTGTCGTGAGGTCCTCAGCGGACTTGCGGGGACCTCCAGGGTCCTAAGGCTGGTGGGCCCAAAAGGAAATCCATCTACAAAGGGGTGGTGCAATAGATCTGGTGCAATAGACTTGTGGGTTGCACTCGATTTGGGGCGTGCAATACATTCTTGGGCGCAAACGTATTGCTGGATTTTCGCGTGCTATGCATTAGATGTAACACAGTGCAATACACTTCTCCAGCGCAATACATTTGCAATGCAATTGCCCCAAATCCATTCCACCACCCCCTTTCAGCTGGACCCCCTTTTGGGTCACACAAACACGCAAACACACAAACACACAAACACACACAAACACACACACAAACACACGCACACACACACGCACGCACGCACGCACAGACACACAGACACAGACACAGACACACACAGACACACACAGACACACACAGACACACACAGACACAAACACAGACACACACAGACACACAGACACACAGACACACAGACACAGGCACACACGCACACGCACACACAGACACAATTAAAGTGTTGAGCCCCAGGAAAATATTGGAAAATGTGGGAAGTGGGGAGGAAGGCGAAAACCCAGAAGATAACGGAAAATATGGGGAATCCTGGGATTTGTCAAGAGCAGAGCGCCGAAAAAACCGTCTGGCTCGGACCTTTGAGCCCACGGAGGCCTGGGCCCCGAGCCCCGCGGGCGCCGTGCACTACTTCAGGCGATCGCAGACAAGCCACGGGTCCCGTCTCCATCGTGAAATCGCGGCTTGCAGCCGCCGAGCGAGGCGGCGCCGGCCGCATTTTGGTGGCCGGGCACCTCTCCCGACCCATAGATTTGGCGACCGCGCGCCAGATCCACGGATCGCCAAGCCACGTCTGCGCGCCCCCGAGCTCTCCTGCATCGGGGAGCGCACGCCGCGGAGTGCCGCGCGAGCCCGGAGTCGCTCGCGGGGGCCGAGCCGGGTCTTTGGGGGCCGCTCGCGGCCCGGGAGGTGGCCTGGCATCTGCGTTGAGCCGGGTCTTGGGCAGCGTGGAGCGGCCACGCGGCACGCGCAAAAGGGGGTATAGGGGGAGGGGGGAAGGCTTCTTAGAGGCACCCGGGCTTCTTAGAAGGCGCGGGCCTTCTCTGTGGACGTAATGCCGGGGCCTTCCAAAAATCACGACGCTTCTAAGAAGCCTTCCCCCCTCCCCATACCCCTTTTTGCGCGCCGCCAAGTCAAGTCGGGCACGTCCCTCTACAAGAGGAAAATTCAAAAATAGTAACAAAAAATAGTTTGGGACGATGTCTCGACTATTTCTGACTTTTTTGAGTATTGTTTGACTACTTTTTACTTTTCGCCCGAAATCCGCCTGTAGGGGGACAATGTCCTACCTCATGGATTCACCCCGGAATCGGGGAAACGTAGGACTCGAGTATGCCAGAACTCGGGTTTGCCGACTTTTTTTCGACGAGCGCGACCTGGATTTTGACGGTCCAGTGTTCGTGGGATGTTTGCAGCGGCAGTTCGTGTCAAATTTCAGACTCCCCTCAGAAATCGTGGGGGGTAGGGGAAGAGTTCGCATGTGGCCCCTCAGCTGGGCCGGGCTGGCGCGTCCCCGACCGCAGGGGGCGGCAACAACAACGACCCCGACGCGCACCTGCGGCTGTCCCTCGACGAGGTGCTGCCGCGCCTGGCGGACGCGGCGACGGAGGGCCCCCCTTGCCGCCGCCGGCCTTCCGCGCTGCTGCGTGGGCGCGGGCCTCCAGTGTCTGAAGCATGTCGCGCACCCATTTTGTTTTTGGCGCAGTGGAGACCCATGCCAAGACACACCCTGCTTGCCTCCAGGGTGCCCTGGGTTTCTTGGGTCTCCATGGTTTTTGCCGTGGAAAGCGTGGCGTTCCCACACCGAAGATGAATGGACGCCCTGGGGTCTCAGGGTTGGTTTCTCGTGGAAGGTTTATTGTGGACTGGCCTCCACTGTATGTGTGTGTGTGCGTGTGTGATGCAGTGGTCGCCAATTCGCACCAGACTGCTGGCGCTTCCTCCTTACACCCCCCATCGCTGCACGTTTTGTACACTCTGCCTTCGACGATGCTCGATCGCAATTGGCCCTTCCATCTGCCGTCCGCCCCCGAGGATCCTCTGCGCCGCCGACTGTGTGTGTGTGCGCGCGTGTGTGTGTGTGTGTGTGTGTGTGTGTGTGTGTGTGTGTGTGTGTGCGTGCGTGCGTGCGTGCGTGCATGCGTGCGTGCGTGCGTGCGTGCGTGTGTGTGTGTGTGTGTGTGTGTGTTTAGCATTGCTCGTTTTTTGCTTTATTTCTAAGTTTGGGCGCCTGGGGGGCGCTTCTGGGCCCTAGGATACCAGGACCATCGACAAAGAGCTCAGGACGATCAGACAGAAACGGTCGCGCTGGAGGCTTTACAAGTATATTCAACACGCATAGTAAGGATGAGCGACTTTCCACGGTTACCCTTGCATCCTTCCCCTTCGGCCCACCCAGGCCGCTTTCGCTGGCTGCGCCCCGCTCGCAAAGTGTCGACATGGCCTTCGAAGGCTCTTGGATCCTTATCGTGCGTGTTTATTATACGGGTTGGCTGTATCTTTGGCGTCCCGTTTTTTTTTCCTTTGGTTTGGAGCCCCAGGGCTGCCAGAACACGTATTGTGAGCAACCAGCCTTGGGGAACGGGTCGAGAAGGCGGGGTGCCCACGCTGAGAACGTCGGACCGTCGGACGTGCCGTCGGACGTGTGCCGTGCCGTCGGCACGTCTGGTGCCCGTCTGTCTCATCAAGCTGCTGCCGCACGCCCAGAAATTGTGGAGCGAATTGGTAGCATCTTGGGCGCGGTGGTGAGGGAAGACGATCTGCTTGGAGGACGGGCTCCCAGGTCGTCTGGAGGTCTTCTGCTGCCAGGCGTAGTTCAGGCCAAGGCAGCGGCTCGTGCACAAGCGTCTGTTGGGCACCTTTGGGGGGGAGTGCGCAGTGTTCTGTGGAGTCAGCCCTGCGTGATTGTTTTCTTGCCCCACGCTTGTTAGTAATTTCGTTGGTTTGTTTGACTCCAAGGTTAAGAGCAACCCCAGCTCTGCAGGAACAGCTCGGGTTCATGCTCTTCGAGCTCGGGCTCGCTACCTTGGAGTGCTCCTCGTCTTGTGTATCTCCATGCGGCCTTTGGGCACTGAGCGACGATGCGAAGAGGCTAACGAGGCCATGGCTTGACTGCAGCTCTATTGCGGTGACGTCTGGATGCCGTTGGTGAGACCTCCCGCGCACCTTTGCACCTCATGAGCAGTGTGTTTCATCGGGATGTATATCGGCGGAAGCGCCGTCCTGCGATCTTGGTTGCGCTCGCTTGAGGAAGCGCCATTGAGTGAAAGGGAAGTACGTGATTTCTGTGCAGTCTGGTTCGTTGGGGTATGCCCCGTCGTCGGATTGTTACTCCCGTGCCTCCACTCGGGTGGGCGACGTTGGTTGCGAATCGGCGCAAAAGCAATGCGGTGTAATCAGCTGGGCTTTGATCGGAGAGGGCGCTGCTGGAGCCTGTTTCTTTTAACTCCCGCAAGTTCACTTGCATGGACGCTTGGGGGGCCTGAACCTGAAGCAAGCTTCAAACGACTTGCACATGCGGAAATCACGCAAGTCGAACGGCACTTTCACGCTAATATTCGTTTGAGGAGGGGCGAGGGGGGGGGCGAACGCTACGCAAGTCAACTTGCCTTAAGCTAACAAGATGAAGGCTCTTGCTCGAGCCATGACGGCACTCGCTAGCGACAGCGGCGTGGTCAACCGTCCGTCCACGCGCTCTCCGTTCCGTCCTGCCGCTGCCGCAGGCCAGGCGGCTCTGGCGTGCGCTGGGGCCGTCGCTTTTGGCCTCGCTGAGCCTGCGCCGTGGGAGAACTGTGGCGGTGCCTCCTCCTCCCCCACTGCCAGCCTTGGCGCAGAGGGGAATCCGGTGCGACTGAGGATGGATCGCTCTGGGCTCCGGCGGGGATGCATCGACTCCTTCGGTAGCAAATCATGGGAGCTTGGTGTACTTTCGAAGTTCCGTCTTTAGCGTCGATTAGTGTCGATTAGCGTCTGGGAGTCGATGAGACAGCGCCGATTTTAGCGTCGATTAGCGTCAATTTAGCGTTGATGAGCGTCGATCCAGCGTCGACTAGCGTCGATTCGCAGGAGCCGGCAAGATGGTATGGGAGGCCCCCGTGAGTTGCCAAGGAAGAATCGGGTGCGACTTTCGGGGGGAATGTACCGCTCAGGGCTGCGGCGGGGACGCGTCGACTCCCAATCGCGCAGTCGTCCCCGGTGGGGGGGGCCCATAGCCCACCCTTCCCAGGAGCGTGCGGTTCCACTGGGCCGATCGCCGATCTGTCAGCGACGTAGCGCCGACGCCCGCAAGAAGCACCTCCGAAGTGCCTTTCCTGGGCTGCCCGCGTGCACCTCCCGAGTGCCCTTCCTGGGCTGCCTGTGGAGACAACGACGGCCTCCCCACGTCTTCTTGCGTCCTCTTGGGCCGCCTGGAGGCTCCTCGTCGCCACGGCTGGATCCGCCGCGCCATCTCCCCCCCCCCCTGAGCTGGTCGCCCTCTACAGTCGACGCCGACGGTAAGGATGGGCAACCTTCCCAAGGGTGCACCTTGCATCCTTGCCTCCTCGGTCCATCCTTGACCCCTCTCGATTGCCAGCCCGCCAACCTCTGCCTCCATCCTCAAGGTGGTGGTGGTGATGGTGGTGGTGGCGGTGGTGGTGCGTCTCCTTTTCTTCGGTAGCGAATCATGGGAGCCTGGATGCCCTCTGAATTCAGTCTTTAGCGTCGATCAGCGTCTGGGAGTCGACGAGATAGCGCCGATTTAGCATCGGTTAGCGTCGATTCGCGTCGAACTAGCGCCGACTAGCGTCGACTAGCGTCGACTCGCAAGAGCCGACAAGATGGTATGGGAGGCCCCCATGAGCTGCCACCGAACTTCTCCCCCTCTCCCTGAGATCCGACGTCGCGAAACAGCGAGCCACGTCGCTGCTGATCGCACGGCAGCAGCCCTGGACCTGGGAGCCGGCCGACGAGGGCCGAGCGTGTCCCAGCACCGGCTCCGGCCCGCAGGCGGGGGGGCCGTCTTGGAGGCCCTCTTTGGGCCGTCTTGGAGGCCCTCTTTGGGCCGTCTTCGGGCCCTTCCGGGGGCCTCTTAGGGGTCCACATGTGAACCCTACCCCTACCCCCCATGATTTCTGAGGGGGAGGGTGGGGTTCGTTCGGGAGCTCCCGAGCGAAGTGAACCCCACCCTCCCCCTCAGAAATCGTGGAGGGTAGGGGTAGGGTTCACATGTGGCCCCCTACCTCTGGGACCGTCTTGGGCCGATCTTTGGAGCCTCTTGGGCCGTTTTGGGCAGTTCTTGGCCCGAAAAGGCGAAACTCCGAAAAGCCTTCAAGAGCCATTGAACAGCCAAGGATTTTTGCAGTCGCCACGGCTGGGCGCGGGTCGAGAGGTGCTGCCCGACTCCAGAGGCCCCGGAGGCCACCTGGAGGGCGAGCTCCAAGAGACGCTCAGCGCCAAGCCCACGCCGCCAGGGCGGGCCAGACATCGCTTAAGTCGGGCCTGTCCCTCTGCAGGATGAATATTCTGGAGGAGTATTCAAAAATAGTCAAACCATACAATGGGGACGACTTGTTTTAGTTATTGTTTGGAATCTTTTTGCGTATTCTTATTTTCTCGTCCAAAATCCGCCTGTAGGGGGACATGTCCCACCTTGAAAATGCCGCACAGGAAGCTGGGTCGAGAACCCGAGCCGCCCTCTGCGAACCCCAGACTGGGGTTCTGGGGATCGATTGTGAGCGGATCTGCCTCCGTCCTCCCCCTCCCCATTTTGACTTCGCTCGGGCATGTCCCTCTACAGGAGAATGTTGGACGAAACATTAAACATATCCAAACCACACTTTAAACTATGCAGAACAACAATTTAAACATCGTCCCATACTATTATTTTTGATTGTTGTTTGAATGTTCCTCCTGTAGAGGGACAGGCCCGACTTACCTCTTGATCGATCGTCTCGGGGCCCGTCCAGCGCAGACCCCCTGGCCGCTTCCAGCCAGGGCCCCATCCTTCTGCGCCAGCCCTCGAGCCGCTTCGATTATGCGAGGAACCCCAGGGCCCGAACAGAACCTAACAGGCATCGAGGCGCAGCCTGGGGGTCTTCTCCTCCTCCTCCTCCTCCCTTCTCCTCCTCCTCCTCCTCCTTCTCCTTCTCCTCCTCCTCCTCCTCCTCCTCCTCCTCCTCCTCCTCCTCCTCCTCCTCCTCCTCCTCCCAGGGAGTGCCTCCCGGCGGCCCCCCCGTCTGCAGGAGAGGGTGGGCAGCCGGTTCCTCCTGATGCGGCTGGGGTCGGACGCCACGGGCACCGACGAGGCGGGGCGATTGCGGCTGGGGGGGTCAGTCTGACTAAGTCAAGGGAACAAAAGCCGCGCAGACCCCGACAATCGGCGTTACTGAGCGGCCTTGGGCGTTTACTGAAAAGCCCTGTCCTGTTCGATTCCTTCCTTGGGTGCGTTTACTAAACGGCTTCGTTTGTCGGGGGGGGTGGATTTCTGCCCTCGACTCGGGGGAGGAGAAGGTACTGATACCGGTGCTCGTCCCGGAGAGCCCTCGTCGCCACGGCTGGATTCTCTTCGAGATTCGGGTCAGAGCGCACCCTGGGAGAGGTCGTCGAAGGAGAGAGCACGGCACGAGCATGATCTTTCGGAGCTCCGCGCGGATTTCGTGGGTCTGGACCGGATCCCTCTGGCGGCGCCGCCCCTGTCGCGCGGAGCGCGCCCGGGGGGGTCCAGCGCCGATCCAGTGTCCAGCGCCGATCCAGGAAACCCGCGCGGACCTCCGACAGTTCATGCTTATGCCGTTCTTCGCTGCTCTGGGTCAGTCGGGAGGGAAGAGTGTCAACGACACGCCGCCGTGGGGGCCCCGCCAGCGTGGTGCTCCTTCGTTTCTGTCTGAAGGCCTGGCGCTTCCTTGACAGTGACGCGCTGATGGGTTGAGCACGGTGGCGTGTCATTGATGCTGCTTTTGCTCCCACGGGGGAGAAACACGGGGATTATGACCAAGATGTCGCGGGATCTTATCAATGCCGGTCTGGGTCATGGTCCTCGTCGGCTGTCGCCGATTCGCGAGGACGATCCACGAACTGACGCTGACCAAGATCGGCGCTGGGAGACCACCGAGCGCTGGAATTGGCTGGGGGTCTGAGGTGGCTCAGCACTGGGTTTGGCGAGCAGGAAGGAGTGGGAATATTGAAGCGTTCCTACAACCCTCGTCAAAGTTAACCTCAAATAGTCTTTGCATGGGCTTGTGGGAATATTCGAAACGCCGTCAAATTCCGAGACAGCGCTTCCGTCAGTTCAGGCCAGCGACGAGCGAACCTCAACCCTCAGGAATCCGTCAGGAATCCCTCCGGAATCCCACTCGAATCCTCAAGAATCTTTTTGGAATCCCTCAGGATTCCCTTCGGCATCCGTCAGAGTTTCCTTCGGCATCCATCAGAGTTCCTTGAGAAATACTCCAGGATTGTTCAGGAATCTTCAAGGAATCGTCAGGACATGCCTAGCAATCCAACAGGAATCTTCAAGAATCCTTTCTAAGAATCTGTCAGGAATCCTCGAGGATCCTTCAGGAATCTTCAAGAATTTTCTAGAAACCTTCAAAACTCAAGAATCTCCTAGAATCCTTCGGGAATCCTCCAGAGTCCAGCGGAGTCCTCCACGCGCTGGGAAGCTGAAGCAAGCTTCCCTGGTTGTAATCCGGCGTTCGCCATGTAGGATTACAGAAGGAATCCTGCACGTTGCGATGAGTCCGTCTCCAGTGGATGTCGTCGGGCCGAAGTGGTTCGTGAACGGTCCAAAGTGGTCGTCGAATCGGTTTTCTTCTCTATGGGGCGCCTCCTGGGGCGCTTTGGCGGCCTCTTGGGCCGTGTTTGGGCCATCTTGGTTGGAACGATCATTGGGCGTCTCGAGGCCATCCTGGACCGTCTCGAGGGCCTCTAGGGGCCCTCCTGGCCCGTCAGGAGGCTCTCTTGGGCCCAAAGAAATCGTGCGGCCAATTGCCGGGAACCCCAGGGGAACCGCACCAAGCCCAGGGATGTTTGAAAATTTGGGGTCAAGCCCCTAGTTGACTCCTCATGAGAACTGAGGCTCAGAGGATTGGGCACAGGACCTGAGAACACGCCCACCTCGTGCCCAGCGGCACGGTGGCGGATTTACCACAAATTCCGATGTGTATCTATTTTCTTCATTTCTGCAACAAATGAACATAGGTGCCGACCCGAGAACATATCTTTAACACATGGGTATAATGCTTGTTGTAAGTGTGTGATCGGCAAAACAAGCGAAACATTGGCAAATGACAGGCGACGAACCGGCGCCAATTCCACGCCGACCTTGCAAGCCTATTTTTCTTACCTGTTTCAGATAGCCTCGAGAAAAAACTCCGGGGGCGACCGGGGAAGCGCATATTTGTTTCACCTGTTTCTCGCCTACTTTCGGCGGCGAGCCCAGGGGGGACGTGAAGAGGCGGGCCTGCTCAGAAGGCTCGGAAGGCCCCCGGCCTTCCGAGAGAAGTTTTCTGAGCCTTCCCCGAAGACACAGACTTCTCGGAGGGCCAGAGGGCTTTGAGAAGTCCCGCCGCCTTCTCTGAGAGGTCCTTCTCCTTCTCGCTTCCCCCCCTCGCTCGCCGCCAACACCCGCCCGGGCCAGGCCGGGGGCAGACCCAGAGCCGGGCGGGCAAAGAGCGGAGCCAGGACCGGGCCTGGTTGCCGAGCCGAGCCGGCCCTCTGTGGGGTCGGCCGCAGGCTGGGCGTGGAGCGCGCTGGTGCCGCGGGCACCCGTCTCGGGCCAGCCGGGCCAGGGTTGTAGCCGAGCCCGGCCCAGGCAGATGCGAAGTCGGGGCGCGGGGCCGGCGTGGAGGCGGCGCAGGGTCTGGTGCCAGAAATGGCCCATGCAGGGACTGTCGGGTGTTGCTGGAAGTGCCCCTAGCCCAAGGTGCCTCCAGGATATCCAGGGAGGCTTCCACGGCATCCAAAGCACCCCTCACGAGGCCCAGAGGGTCCCCAGATCTCAGGAATCGAACGAAAAGCTGGGAGCACCTTGGGGCAGGGGCACCTCTAGCAACCCCCGAGACTGGGGCTGGGCTGGGGCGTTCATTTTTTCCCCACGAGCGCGACCGCCCTAGCACTGCCCGCGTTGCAATCGCTTTGGCGCCCTCGACGCTAATACGGGCTGGGAGGAGCGACGCCGTCCGCGCGCAAGGCAGACTTGCGAGGTCCCCGGGGCGAGTCATTTTTGGAGCGGGGCGCGCGCAATTGCTTCGCGTGCCCCATGCGCGGCGCCTCGTTGTTCCAGCGACTGGTGGACGAGATCTGCATCGACGAGCTCCGATTCTTCATCGGCTCTGTTCAGCTTCCTTTCTTTTCGGGGGGCTGTCCACAGGTAGGAGCATCACGAGGGGAAGAGGTCGAGGCTCTGGGTTCGGAGTTTTTTTTGTTTGTTTGCCTTTTCGGCCTCTGACGGCCGCACTCCGGCCCTGGGACCGTCAAGAACGGATCTTCTCTGCTGTGAACGCTTGCACCAGATAGACCCTGGGAGGGGCCTGGAGTTATGATGTTCCAACCTACTTTAGCCTTCACCACCAGAAAGAATTTCGAGCGCGCAAACAGTACCGACACTCGAGGGTTTTCACGTGTCGGGCCCGGGGAGACACTCGTCCGACACTGTTTCGATACTCTTTCGACACTTTTCCGGGTGCTCGAAATTAATTCTGGGATGCGGTCCTAAGTGCGATGGGAGCAACAGAAGCCTGGAGACAGATTTTAAACGAATTTGGTGCCATCCCCCTCTTAACCGATTTCCTCGGGCCTCAACCAGCTCAGACCCCCTGGCCGCCTCCAAACCGAGAGCTCGGATGCGACAGCGTCGGCCCACGGCATCGAACTCCTGGCAACAGGGGGAACCTGGGGTCCCAGTAAAGCGGAACTCATGGCGGCACTTCCACAGGATCGACCAACATACAACCCTCGCCGAACACGCGTACCAGATCGTCGAGGGGTCTCAGCAGAAGGCGCTCACCGATTTGATGTTTATGCCTGCAGTTTCTTCCCGCCACGGGCAAGAGGATTTTTGGTTGGAGTCGGCGTGTCGCTATCAATTGTTCGTGTGTTCCCTCATCGGCTCCATCATCGATGGGCTCACAGCCGTCCTCGCGGTGGTTTGGAACTCGCTCATGCATGCCATCCATGGCAACGGACCCGTATACTTGTGCATCGTTTCTGATAGTGATTCTAGTTGTGGTGACGACGCTGTTTTGTTTGTTTGCGAACTCCCCGATGGCGCACCGCAGCTCACCGAGGTCGAAGAGCAAAACTCGCCAGGGTCAGCGGCGACCCGTGGCCCGACGATAGCGATCAAAGGCCCTCTTTGAGACCCAGCCGCCCTGATCGTCGACCTCGCCATTTATCCAAGCCTCACTCATGGTTAGACGGGCCTCGCGGACGCCACGCAGCCAGGCCAGCCCCGCTCGACGCTCGGCCGCCGTGGCGGGCGTCGGACTGTCCGCCTCCGCCTCCATGCGCCAGCCTGGCCTCCGAAGGTCTCGGTCGAAGTCGGTGTCGTCGCAACTCGTCGCCATGTGCCGCTGCAGCACCTTGAGCCGCACCTTGCCGACGGACTCGGTGACCTCCTCCTTCGCCTCGTACTTCTCCAGCTGCCTGCCCTGGTGCCCCTTGGAGCGCAGCGCTCCGAGAGACTCCGAGAGCACGTCTCCGAAGCTCACCTGCTCCACGTTCTCCTCCAGCTGAATGCCCTGGTTCCCCAAGGAGCTCAGCGGGCCGAGGGGCTCCGAGAGAACGTCGCCGCCGTGCAGCGTGTCCAGCTCGTCGCCAAGAGCCTCGGGCGTGTCGAAGTCCTTCCCAAAAACCTCCTCGTCCTCCTGCTCCTGCGTCTGGCCGCCGATCTCCAGCACATGCTCCTGGCCGCCGACGTTCGGCGGAATTTCCATGATCTCCGCGTCGTCGCCGCGCGCGGCAGGCACGAACTCGGCCACGTTCTCCGAGACCACGTGCTCGCCCTCGACCTTCGGCACAATCCCAGGTCTGCCGCCAGCACTGCGGCCCACGCTCTCCAGCGCCACGGGCCAAAACTTGGGCCCCGACGTCAAGTCCGTCAGGACGCGGGCGTCCGCCTTCCTCTCCTTCTCGGCGAGGCAGAACTGGGCCCCCGCGGGTACGCTGAGCCCGCGCTTCCGCACAGCTACTGCCCATTGAGTGGGCACGCTCTCAGCCGCCGACCGCTGGGCAGGCAGGCGGCGGTACACGGCGCCCCCGCTCGGCGCCCGCGCCTGTCTCGGGTCGCGGCCTCCCGCACGCGCAGCGTGTGCAGCACGTCGGCTCCCAGGGAGCCCCACCGAGGGCGGACTCCCGAGGGCTCCCGCCGCGCCCAGCCGCGCGGGCCCCCGCCCGATGGAGCGACGAGGCCCTCGGCTGCGAGCGGCGAGTCGCCGGCCGCGCCCCTGCCGCTGCCACCGGTTGAGCTGCAGCATCCCCGCCGTCGCGATGACCGCCGCAGGCACGGCGGCGCAGTGCAAGCCAGTGTTGCGGCGCGCCTTCATCACTGTCTCCGCCGCCTTGCCATCCAGCGGGCCCGCCAGGACGCCCTCCAAGATCGGCACCGCAAGAGCCAGCCTGGGCACCAGCTCCCCAGCCAGCGCCACGTCAGGCGCTGCGATGGTGCCCTGCGACTCGGCCAACGCAACGGCCTGGTCCGCAGCGGCCTGGTGCCTTGCCCGCTCCACGTCGAGCCGATCCTCCAGTGACCTGACGGTGCTCTCCAGCTCCTCGACGCGGCGGTAGGCGGCAGCCAGCCTGCCATCAGCTGCCTGCCGCGCAGCGGCCCGCCGCGCGCGCCGCACAGGCCAGAGAGAGCCCCCAGCCGCGGCCTTGTGCTGCTCCGCCGCCTCGAAAGCAGCCGTGCAGCTCGCCGCCGCCATCTGCGCCCAGGACGCACGCCCTCGCGCGCGCCCGCGCGGCCGAGGGAGCAGCTCTTGAGCCAAAATGGCTACGGGGTGACGACGCTCGGGATCTCCCAGATCGTATGGCAAGATGTTGTTTCTCATGAGACTGGCCGGGCCCTCCTCAGTGGCCTGCGCCAACTTTCTCGTGAGGAAGCCCGCTTGCTGCAACTCTGCAGGCTGACTGCCATGGACTCGGGCGCCTCCGCCGCACGGTCGAGCCCGTGTGTGCGCGTGCTGTGCTGGCCTCAAGGGTTGGCTACGGCTGCCGCGCCTCCGCCTACGTCCGACGGCTTGGCTGCTGCTGTCCCAGACGGCGTCGGCCCAGCTGCAGCAGCGCCCGCGTTGGATGATGGCCTGGTCGAGGCCTGGGATTTGATGTGCCCATTCCTGGAGGCGTGCGCCGAACAGCACCAGCGTGGGCCCACCAGCACCACTGATCTTCGCCGCTGCTCTCCGCCGGAGGCGGCCACCTGCTGGCCCGGTGCTAGCGCCAGAGGCGGCCAATATCGTGAGGCGCCAACTTACGCGCGATTCGCGTGACGCTGAGGACGCCGTCATGCTCGGCACTGGTGACCTAGAGTTGGACAACACGATGGAGCTTGACACCCCTACGGACGCTGACGTCGCCGAGGGCTCCGCCAACATGTTATCGGACCACTTGGAAATGGCACCGTCCGGCGGTACAACCCTGAGCAGGACGCGCACGGGCATCCTTTCTCTATATGCTGGCAATAGGCCCCCTGACCGGCTCGCCCGTTCTCACTGGGTGGTCGACCTGATCGATGAGATCGTCAGCGACTCGCTTTTGATTTTGAGAGACCGAGGCCCCTTGGAGTTCAGTGACCAGGGCCTCGCCAATATGGAGGCGGCCCAGGCCGCCTGGCTACGCTACCTGGATCCCCCCCCGTCGGGGCTTGGTCCTGGCAGTTCGGTTATTCAACAAGTATGTGTGGCAGTGGGCAATCCAGCCATTTCGATTGATGCCGCCGCAGTGGTGGATATGCACGTGCATGACACGTCTATGGGCACAGACCTTTTACAGTGCAGTGTTTGTGCTTGCTTTCGCGTGCCCGCCGCAATGGCGGGCTGCTGCGGGCGATCGGGCTGTGCAGGCGACGCAGCTGCCTATCCTTTCTTAACACCTGATGGCGCAATGCTATCTCCTCATGTGGCTGGCCGCAAGGATGCCTCTCGTGATTATGTTCATTCGGCGCCCTTGGCCCGGACCTTGTCTGGGGCCCGCACTGGTGCCCGCTCGTCTGACTGTTCATGAATGGTTATCGCCAGGCCGCTGTCACGCCAGGCTCCCTGGCTGGGCGGCGCCCTTACCAAGGCGATGATGATCGACCGAAATACAAACGACGCCATCCCACGTACGGCCCTCCATGCTGCGCTACGGCCCATCGGGCGCCGCAGTGTACACCACGCAAAACCCACGCCAGATTTCTTGGTATACGCTAAGCCCCGTGTGGCCGCAGGTAGGGTGGTGTCGTTTGTCTTCTGGTCCACAGGAGGAGAAAAGTCGCCACGGTGGGCCAGCTCAGGCCCACCTTGGGGACCAGGTCTTGGCGCGTACCTCCCGCCCAGGGCCAGGGGGCGATGTGCACCAGGGCCTGGCGCAGAGTGGGCCCGAGTTGGCCTGCAGTTGGTGCTGGCTCTGCTGGTCTGCCGGTGCTGGCGGCTGGCACGGGGGGGACGCATCTACAGCCATCGTGCTGGCAGAAGTGTTGAACGCAAACCATCGAGACTTTGCGCAGAAGACCGCTGAAAACCGCCAGACACCGCCAGAAAGCGCCGAAGACCGTCAGAAAATCGCCGAACTTCGGCCGAAAACCGCCGATGACGGCACAGGAACGATGGGCAACAAGGGGTCCACGGTCGAGCACGCAACAGAAGGAGCGCCGAATAAGAACGAGGGGGCTTTTCTGGCCACGGCGAGCCGCGGCCACGAGCATGTCCCCGACTTGGGCCTTCCTTTGGCGTCTTGACCGTGCTGGTACTGACGAGGGTGGCGCGGTCGGGACGGGCGGGGTTATGTGGGGTTCGATGGTCAGGGCTCGCGCGCAAGCTGACTTGAGGAGGGCTGCCAGGGCGGCTGCAGGGAGGCCTGGCTTTGAGAGTCGTTGGCGAGCGTCCGCGATTCAAACGAGATCCCTCTTCCCTCCCGCCCCCCATAGTCTTTTGTCCCTTCGCCTTCGCACACGGAAGCAGTCAGCCTGCCCACGGCTGTGACCTTTGAGCGCCAGGGTGCCGGTTGACTCTCAGCATGGAGAACGCCTTCCTCCTTCCCTCACGCTGCTTCCTTCGGACACGAGTCCGTGGACGCCCACTGACGAGATGGGGCGACCCATCTCCGTTGCGCCTTCGGGGCACGTCACCGCGCGCGCCCGTACTCAGCGTTCCTTCTCTGCCTCTATCCCTCCTTCACCAAGCGCGTTCCACTACTCTCAAAGTGCCTACTCGCAAACGTCCGACAACAAAAACAACAGGTCTCACTCGATGCAATGAACTGTGATTCCACCGCGGTGGATCTGGGCCATTTGCGAGTAGTTACTTTGCGAGTAGTGGAACGCGGTTGTCCACTCCTGCTCCTCCCACATCTTCCCTCTCGCTCGGTAGCAAGTCATGCGAGCCTGGTATATCTCAATTCTGTCTTTAGCGTCGGCTCGCGTCGATTAGCGTCTGGGAGTGGGTAACATAGTGCGGATTTAGCGTCGGCTAGCGCCGACGTAGCATCGATTAGCGTCGATGTAGCGTCGATTAGCGTCGGTTCGCAAGAACCGACAAGATGGTATGGAAGGCTCCCATGAGTTGCCACCAAACTCTCGCCGTGCCTTTCCATTGTTCCCTGGCCCCTCCCTTGAGGTCGACAAGATCTTCAGGGAGGCCCTTCCGGCCTCCGCGAGGCTCGCAGGCCCGACTCTCTCCCTCCCTCTTTGGCGACGCGGGAGAACTAGGAGGACTAGGGCGGAGTGTCCTCCAGAGAGGCGGAATGCGAGGAGGAGGAAGGAGGAGGAGGAGAAAAGACCGCTTCAGCCACGTCGCTAAAGTCTGAACAACGTCAAGAGGAGGAGGAGAAGGAGAAGGAGGAGTATGAAGAGTTGTTTGTTTTATACGCTGGGTGGGCGGTGGGCTGTCAATCGCCAGCCGCGCCCAGCGTGCCATGCGCGCTTCTTTGGCCTGGTGTTCCTGGCCAGAAGTGATTGCACGTTCCGTTGTCCCACCCTCGACGTTCTGTCCGAGGAGGAGGGAGGAGGAGGAGGGAGCACGGGGCAGGGAGAGAAACGAGGCCAGAGGAGGAGGAGGAGGAAGGGGGGGAGGAGGAGGACGGATGAGGGGCGGGATGGGACTTTTATGGCGCACCTAGGTGTCATACAGTCAGCCGTTCCCGTGAGACCAATGGTTACAGTGCTTGTGATCGAGAACATTGTTATTGCCATCCAGAGCAAACTGGCTACAGTGAGATTCGAGTGGCGGGTGTGCCGTTCCAGGTCTCCTCGGAAAGTATCTGGATTCTTGTAGTGGGCTCTTCTCACAGTCGCCTTCAAACAAAACGCTTAGATTCGGCAAGAAGATTGGACACAATTCCAATGCAGTTTACAGCTTGTTGACTGCTAGTACAGTGTATGCTTCGAGTCTGTGTTAGCGAGTTGCAGGCAGTGTCTAAGGTGCAGCCATGTTTGGCTTAGAGCCGCCTGCAGCGGTATTCTCCCCAAGCAGTGCTTGCAATTGGGCTTTCCTACTTTTGTTCTAAGGCACTGGGCCGTGTGTTCGGTCTGGCGGTTATGTGGCCTGCGTCCCCTCCCCGTTGCCGCCTCGTCGCCGCCCATCGTCTTGGCCGTGTCTTCGGTCTGGCGGCTATGTTGCCGCCGTCGTCGCCCCGTCGCCGCCGTTGGATTGCACAAAATAGTTAGCACAACATAGATAGCACATCATAGATAGCGTCTTTTCGCTCGCAACATATACTGCTCTACATATATATATATATATATGTGTACACATATAGACACACACGCACTGCACAACATAGATGGCGTCACACATAGAGAGAGCACAACATAGAGTCTCCTTTCTAAGAAATAATAAACGACTCTACCCCTCCGGGATTTTCAATTCCCTTTTCCTATTGCAATTCTGTACGCTTCGCGTATCCCCACCAGCCCATCTCACAGCAGCAACTCTTGCGAAGCATGCCGGCAGTCGTGTTTTTCAGGCGTGTGTCCGTTTGGCCCCGCATATCTCCCCTGTTCCTCCTTCCTCCCGCCTCCTTGTACATCCTCCTTGTGGGGGGAGCGGGAGAAGGACGAGGCGGAGGAGGAGGGAGAGAAAGCGCTCCTCGTGATTTGAGTCGTTTGGGGTTTCTCGTCCTGGTGTGAGTCGTTCGGGCCCTTCTTCCTGGTGTGAGTCGTTCGGGCTCTTCGTGGTGTGAGTCGTTCGGGCTCTTCGTCCTGGTGTGAGTCGTTCGGGCTTCTCGTGGTGTGAGTTGTTCGGGCCCCTCGTCCTGGTGTGAGTCGTTCGGGCCCCTCCTCCTGGTGTGACTCGTTCCGGCTCCTCGTGGTGTGAGTCGTTCGGGGCCCGCGTCGTGGTGTGAGTCGTTCGGGCTCCTCGTGGTGTGAGTCGTTCGGGCGCCTCGTCCTGGTGTGAGTCGTTCGGGCCCCTCCTTGTGGTGTGAGTCGTTCGGGCTCTTCGTGGTGTGAGTCGTTCGGGCCCCTCGTCCTGGTGTGAGTCGTTCGGGCTCCTCGTGGGGCCTCTTGGGGGCCTCTTGGGGGGGCCTCTTGGGGGCCTCTTGGGGGCCTCTTGGGGCCTCTTGGGGCCTCTTGGGGGCCACTTGGGGGCCTCTTGGGGGCCTCTTGGGGGCCTCTTGGGGGCCTCTTGGGGGCCTCTTGGGGGCCTCTTGGGGGCCTCTTGGGGCCATCTTGGGGCCATCTTGGGGCCTCTTGCGACCTCCTCAGAAGCGCAAGTGAGCGCTGCCCCCTGAGAAGGACAAAATGATCCCAAAACCTTCGTAAAATCAATGATTTTGCTATGAAGGACGATGAGCGCTGCCCCTTCAGAAGCCCAAAATGGGCCCAAAACCCTAGTAAAATCAATGATTTTTGCTTCAAAGACGAGCTGAGGCACCAAACTCCCCCCCCCCCCTCGGGGCCAGAATCCTCGTGAAGGTCGTCGTTTTTTGGCCCTCCCAGACGTCGAAAAAGACCCCCCTGACGACCCGCGGAACTCCCTCTCCAGGTCCAGGGGGAGGGGGTAGGGGGAGGGGTAAACCCCTCCCCGAAGGGGAAGAAGGGGGGTTCAGGACAGAGAGAGCTCCCTAAACCACTCACGCCCAAAGGGCTGGTGGGATTTCCATATGACTCAGGCCCATTGCATATACATTCGTACCATCCCAGCCCAGCCGGTATCCCCCCCGCCATCATCTGCAACAAATGCTATGCGCGCGCACTCGTTGATAAAAAACCATACGTTTTCAAACATCCCTTGCAACAAATGAGACGAAGTGCACGCGCGCGTTGTCGCGCGCGCATGCCGAGATCCTTCAAACATTCATGGTTTCGTAAGGATTTCAAAATCGAGTGTCAAGACACATATAAAAACTCAGGGTTCTGCAACACGGACTTCCAAAACAAACTTAAACAAACTTGCGCGCGCGCTTGCGAATTGTAAAGAAAACCATAGGCTTTGCAACATGCTCAGAAAATGCTACCAAACGGGTTTCGCGCGCGCATGTCGAAATCGTTCGAACGCAATGGCGCGCTTGCCGTCTGGAGAATCCTTTTTGTAACAATGGGACGAAGTGCACACGCGCGCGTCGTCGCGCACGCATGCCGAAATCAGTCAAAAACCGTCGGTTTCGCAGCGAATTCAAAACCGAGTGTCCAAACAACATACAACAACACATGGTTTCGCAACGTCAGTGTTCAAAAAAGCGTGCGCTCGCGCTCTTGCGAATTCTTAATGAAAACATAGTTTGCTTGCAACATGCTCATAGAGTGCTGCCAAATGGGCCTCTCGCGCCGCACGCCGACATCATTCGCACACCCTCTGCGCGCGTCCTGGGAGGGCAAGATCCGTGTCAAGCAATAGTATGCGGGCCACTCTCGCGTGTCGGCCGCGCGCGCATGTCGAACTCTTTCCAAAACCCGCGCGAGGACTCCGTCATCGCCGTCGGCGTGATCAGCATCGGCGCCCGCAGTGGCCATGCCTTCGTCGTTGTCAACATCGTCACCACCAACGCTACTATCATCATCGTGTCTACCGTTGTCGACGTTGCCATGATGCCGCGCCCGCGCAAATGACCGACTCGCAGTGAAGTGTCCGCTGGGATGTGCCGAGCGGTTAGCGCCACCGCGGCTGCGTCGGTCGCGCCAAAGTAGTTGGCCGTTGCGTGCGCATGCGCGGAACGCCAAGCGCTCATCGCAATCGCCGGCTCATGGGGTTTGCAAACCAAGTTGCGGGTGGGTTGGTGGGATGTTTGCGCGAGCAGCAGAGTGGACAATTTTATGTTGAGCGTTGCTGGATGGCACCACGTATACTGCATTACAAAAGCGCACATCGTATACTGCACCACACGTATTGCAGAGCAGATATGGCGCACCATAGAATGCGCCACATCTATTGCAGTGTATCGGTTCTCCTTTGTAAAACGACAATGGGCTCTACCCCCCCCAGGTGTTATTCCCCCATTTCGGGTAGGGATATCATGTACGATTCTGACCACATGTCCATCCTAAACGATGCGCGGGGACAGTTTGTGTTCTAACATAAGACTCTTTCACGAATTCTTTGCAACAGATAGGACGAAGTGCGCACGCGCGCGTCGTCGCGCGCGCATGCCGAAATCCTTCAAAAACCTTCGGTGCCGGAAAGATTTCGCAATTGAGTTTCCGAAACACATACAAAAACACAGGGTTTCGCAACATTGATTTGCTAAAAAAGCTTCCGCGTGAGCTCTGGCGAAATGTTAAGAAAACCATAGTTTTTTTTTCAAGATTCTCACAAAATGCTATCAAACGGGCTTCGCGCGCGCATGTCGAAATCTGTCGAACGCCTTTGCGCGTGTGCCGTCGCGAGAATCCTCTGCAAAAGATGGGACGAAGTGCAGACGCGCGCGTCGTCGCGCGCGTATGCCGAAAACCTTTAAAACCCATCGGTTTCGGAAGGATTTCAAAATCGTGTGTCCAAACAACCTACAATTATCCCGGCAAAGCAACCTAACAGCGATGTGTAAGAGCATATCTGGAAGCATTCCCCTTAAGATTCAGATGATAATCGAGTTGTAGAATTCGTAGAATTCTGCTGTTCTCGCAGGCGCAGTCGCATTCGCGATGACAGTCGCAGTGGCAACAGCAGTCGAGTGACAGCCTCAGCCTCAGCCTGCCTCAGCCTCAGCCTCAGCCTCAGCCTCAGCCTCAGTCACAGCCTCAGCCTCAGCCTGCCTCAGCCTCAGCCTCAGCCTCAGCCTCAGCCTCAGCCTCAGCCTCAGCCTCAGCCTCAGCCTGCTTCAGCCTCAGCCTCAGTCTGCCTTCAGCCTCAGCCTCAGCCTCTCAGCCTCAGTGCCTCAGCCTCAGCCAGCCTGCCTCAGCCTCAGCCTCAGCCTCAGCCTCAGCCTCAGCCTGCCTCAGCCTCAGCCTCAGCCTGCCTCAGCCTCAGCCTCAGCCTGCCTTCAGCCTCAGCCTCAGCCTCAGCCTCAGCCTCAGCCTCAGCCTCAGCCTCAGCCTCAGCCTCAGCCTCAGCCTCAGCCTCAGCCTCAGCCTCAGCCTCAGCCTCAGCCTCAGCCTGCTTCAGCCTCAGCCTCAGTCTGCCTTCAGCCTCGGCCTCAGCCTCAGCCTGCCTCAGCCTCCGCCTGCCTCAGCCTCAGCCTCAGCCTGCCTCGGCATTCAAAATGTGGCCCGGGAATAGAGTTCTGGGAACTCGAAGACCACGAAGTGGCCTGCAGTTGGCTCCGGGCATTCAAAATCATGCCCAGGAATGGAGTTCTGGGAACTCGAGGAGCACGAAGTGGCCTACAGTTGGCTCCGGGCATTCACAATGTGGCCCGGGAATGGAATTTTGGGAATTCGAGGAGCACGAAGTGGCCTACAGTTGGCTCCGGGCATTCAAATTGTGGCCCGGGAATGGAGTTCTGGGAACTTGAAGAGCACGAAGTGGCCTACAGTTGGCTCTGGGCATTCAGAATGTGGCCCGGGAGTGGAGTTCTGGGACCTCGAAGACCTCGAAGTGTGTATCTGTTTGCTTAAAACGACTTCCGCAGATTCTCCCCGGCACCCGTCCGGCATTTGCTCAGACCCCCCTGAGGAGTCAAGATGCTTTCTTTTGAGACCATTAGAAACCTATCAGTCTTCGCTGTTAGGTAAAAACACAATGTTTCGCAACACGGATTTTCAACAAAAGTTTGCGCGCGCGCTGTTGCGTCGTCGTCGTCGTCGTCGTCGTCGTCGCCGTCCCCCCTCCTCCCGCGTCGTCGTCGTCGTCGCCTACGTCGTCCTCTGTCTTTCCTCGTGTTCTTCGTCGTCGTCCTCTTTGGAGTCGTGGTCGTTTCCGTCGTCGTTGTCGCCGTGGTCGTCCTTCCTCCTCCCTCGTCGTCGTCGTCCGTCGTCGGCATCTCGTCGTCGTCCCTCCTATTTCGTCGCTGTCGTCGTCGTCGTCGTTGTCGTCGTCGTCTTCCCTCCTCCCTCGTCGTTGTCGTCGTCGGCGTCGCCGTCCTTCCTCCTTCTTCGTCGTTCGCATCGTCGCCGTCCTCCCCTCCCTCGTCGTTGTCGTCGTTGTCGTCGTTGTCGCCGTCGTCGTCCTTCCTCCTCCCTCGTCGTCGTCTTCGTTGGCGACGTCGTCGTCGTCTTCGTCCTTGTCGTCGGCGTCGGCGTCGTTGTCGTCGTCGTCGAAGTCGTCGGAGACGTCGTCGGTGTCGTAGTCGTTGTCGTCGGTGTCGTCGTAGTCGGTCTTCAGAGGTTTTGCAAGCCAAGTTGCGGTTGGGTGGGTGGGATGTTTGCAAGAGCGTGGGATGTGTCAAATCATTGGTAAAAATCATTTGCACCACATAGGTTGCACCACACATATTGCCCCACATGGGTAACATGGCATACACTGCGCCACGTATATTGCACCACATAGACTGCGCAGCACATATCGCTCATCGCTGATTGCACAAAATCGGCTGCGCACCATACATTGCATCATTGAGAAGTGCACGACATTCTTCACACACGCATATCGCACATCGTAAGTTGTTGCACGTTTACATCGCCACGCCCATGTATACACATGTGTATGTACATGTGCACGTACATGCATAATACTTATGATAAAAATGTATGTATTGTTTGAACCGCCCTCTTTGGGATCCGCGCTGCCTAACATTATTGTTCTTAATGTAATGCCGCTTCGCTGCTCGCCGTTGTTTGTATTGTGTCCTTGTGCGAGGGTGTTTCAGTGTAGTTTCGCTTTTGGCTTGCTGCTGCCCTCCTTGCTCTGTCGCCCCCCAGCACTGTGTCGCCGCCTTGCGACAGTTCCTGGCGATGGATTACAGTCGGATGCGCTCGCCTCCGTTCCGCTTTCGCTTCGCATGAATAAGCATGTGTGTCTTTGTCTGTCTGTCCGTCCGTCTGTCCGTCTGTCTGTTTGACTGTCCGTCGGTCTGTTTGTCTGTCGGTCTATCTGGCTGTCTGTTTGTTTGTCAGTCTGTCTGTCAGTCTATCTGTCTGTCGGGCGGGGCGCGCACAGACAGGAAAGACAACGAGTATTTGCGTGCCGCTCGTTCGGTGTTCGTGCGAAACCAAGGCCTGGTAACTATTCGGCAGTAGCGCGCTGATTAGGTCGCCCGACCAACGTGACAGACTGATGCTGCCTTTGCTCTCTGTCAAAGGCCGATAAAAACTGGTGTTTCTCCCATGGATACATGGCGACACAATCGGCATACGTAACGGTTTTTGGATGTCCGCGCGGTTCTCTTGGATCGGCGCTGGGACCCCTTCTGGCGCGCGACGCGCGCCAGGGGCGGCGCACCAGGGGCCCCACGGGGGGGGGGTCCCATTGCCGAGCCAAGGAATCTGCGCGGACCTCCGTTAGTTAATGCCTGTACGCGGTTTTTTCTTCCTTGCCTTCAGAAGCTGTGCCGAGAAAGACGTGGCTCTGGGCGGACGCGGATGTCGGCGGCGACGACGACGACGACGACCGTCGTCACGACCACGACCATGACCACGACCCACGGTGGGCGCCCCCACGCACAGGCGACCCCACCGCCGGCCCGGTGTTCCTGAAGCTCTTGGAGCGGGTGGCGGGCCACCAGCGCGTGGCCGTGGCCGACCGCCTCCGGGGCGAGGCCCTCCTCCCCCCGCCTGCCGGCCTCCCCGCCCGGCCCTCGGCCCGCCTGCCGGGTGCCCCATCCCCCCGACCGGGTCCAGAGGCCTCGGGAGCGCGGCTGGGAGCCCGCAGCTCCCACGTGTCCTCTGGAGGACGCTCTGTGGAGAGGAAGCATGCTGCCAAATAGTTCCCAGACGGCTAACACATGTTTTAAGCATGCTTTGAACTCGTAGAAGACATGGTTGTTCCTTTTTTCACACTTGTTCTAACATTTTAGGTACATCTTTAGCTCAATGATCGGATTATTAGGGTGTCCATTGTCACGGCATCCACAACACGTGCCCCAAGACAGCACCACGGGACCGGCCTGAGGCACTCTTCAGGACCGCTCGGGACGTCGTGGTGGCCTGGGAGGCTTGCCCACGATGCCGGAGTCACTGCAAGAACCGGACGTTTTCTGTCTGATTGTTGGTTCTTCGGCTTTTCGGTCTCAAGATCGTCCAAGAACCAAAGAAGCCCCCAACTGCCCCAAGACGGCCGACATGCACCGAAAAAGGGGCCACAATGCCGCCAATACGACTCCAACGGAGGCCTGAGAGGGGAAACTCAGTTCGACATTTGGAGTCCTCCATGCCAAGATGCCCCCTGAGACCGCCAGTAGGCCCCTAAGAGACGTACGGGAGACCCCTAAGATGCCCCGAACAGAAATCCAGGAGGCCCCCCAATTTCTCTCCCAAGAGACCCCAAGAGGCTTTTAAGATGCATCTCGTTCATGAGGCAGGCACGATGGCGAAGCGAGCCGAAGGCCACCAGATCCGCCAACCCTGTAGCCTGCGGCAGGGATGCTTGGCCGGGCGGTTGTTTTATGATGTTTCTTTGCCCTTCCAAAGAGGTTCCTGGGTGCATTCGGCACGACCGACGGACACGCGAAAAAGAATCCGCCCATCGGCTGTGTTACCGAGGATGACTCCCAAGACGCCTCCAGGACGGCGAAGCTGGCCCCAAGATGGCCCAAGAGGACACCAAAACGCCTCAGGAGCAGTAACTCGGAGGTTCATAGACCTGCTACCCTGACGCGTCGAGTAGCGAATTGGCCGTTTTCGGTTCGCGGGAGGGCGTCACGGCCGTTAATTTTTGCGGGTCCAGGTCCGTCCGTTTCGGTCCTGGGCCGTTTTCATTAAAGGATGGTTTAAAAAAGGGAGGTTTGTCCACCGCCGACTTTGGCTTTGAAGGATTGCGGCAGTCTCGCATTCTCGGTCTTAAGAGCATTCCCAGGCAGGCCCGCACGCAACCAGAAAGATGCCCTGACGACGGCCCCAAACGGCACCCGAGAGGGCTCAAGTGAGCCCCAAGACGACCCTTAGAGTGGGCCCTGGAAACGACAGGGCCGTTTTCCTTTACCGGCTCCGTTCTGCAGCTCGTCTGCCTGTTTCGACGCCGTTTCCTTTCACCGGTTCCGTCACCGTTTCTTCACGGGTTCTGGCTTCGGTTCCGATCGTGGAGCCGTTTTTTGGCCGCTTCCGGGGCCCACCCAGAGACGGCCCACGAGAGGCCTACGATGGCGCCCTCCAGGGCCCCCATACGGCCCAGGGCGGTCGTCGGAGCGAGCAGGCCGAGCGGTCTTACGCTGTCCCCGGCTGCGTGACGCCCTCGTCGTCGCTGTGTGTGTGTGTTGCTGCGGGCACCCCCTCGCACAGCCCGCGTCGTGTACGCGCGTGTCAGCTCAGAGCCGATCCGCTCCGACCGGCTGGCGATCCTCCTCCCCTCCTCCTCCTCCCCCCTGTGCGATGGGCTGCCTGGGACTCAGGGCTGGACCTCCCTTCGTGGGAGGGCGGTGGAACTCTGAACAAGAATTGCCCCTCGGCTCAGGGGGTCGGCACGAGGATCGCCTCGATGCCGACGTCGACCACCCCCCCGCCTCTTTCCAGCTCGTGCGGGTTCTACGGGAGCCAACAGAAGCGGGGCCTCACCAGCGAGTGTCTGTGTCTGGACCCTGAGCGCAGAGTTCAGCTCACGCCCACGAGGTGGAGCTGTTTGACCAGCATATGCGAGGATAAATCCCCAAATTGCACGCAGCCTCGAGCCAGAGCCGAGTCGACAGCTTGTGCTGGCGTATGTTCGGTTATGTCACCTCGCTTCGCGACTGGGCCTGTCCTGTCGTACCCCGCCCCCTTCTCGGCCCCGGCGCCGAGCCTCGAGGCCAGAGCGCAGAGGGCGAGCAGCAGCGAGGGTGGACGGGGGCTTCGAGTGGAGCGGCGTGGCGGCCGCGCGCAGCGGGAGGGCGGTGGCTCTTGATGGGCGGGGCGTTGCCGAGGAGTGCTCCCTGCCCCCCCCCCCCTGCTCCCGTCCTCCCCATCCTCCTCCAATTCCCCCTCCTCCTCCTCCTCCTCCTCCTCCTCCTCCTCCTCCTCCTTTTGGTCCTCGTCCTCGTCCTCGTCCTCGTCCTCCTTCCCTCCTCCCGTCCTCCTCCTTCTCCCTCCTCCTCCTTCTCCTCCTCCTCCTCTCCCACCTCCTTGTCCTCGTCCTGTCACAAGCTGGGCGGAATGTACATGCCATCCACCAATACCAGGTGCCAGCGACGGTCTTTGCAACATGCTCGGGACTAGAGGTTTGCCATACCCAATTTCACAAGTACCGCCTTCAAGGATTGGAGAGCCCATGTGCCCGTCCCGAGAGTTATTCCTTCCATGAATGGACATCAGCAATACATTATAGTCCTTGTACTCTTCCTCCTCTTCCTCCTCTTCCTCCTCAAAATCCTCTTCCTCCTCCTCCTCCTCGTCCTCGTTCCCATCCCATTACCCCTCCTCCCCACCCCCATCCCCTTCCTCCTCCCTCACATCCCCCTCGTCCCCCCCAATCTCCCCATACCCCTCCTCCTCCTCCTCCTCCTCCTCCTCCTTCCTCCGCCTCCTCCTCCTCCGTCCTCCTCCTCCTCCTCCTCCTCCTCTTCCTCCTCCTCCTCTCCTCCTCCTCCTCCTCCTCCTCCTCCTCCTCCTCCTCCTCCTCCTCCTCCTCCTCCTCCTCCTCCTCCTCCTCCTCCTCCTCCTCCTCCTCCTCCTCCTCCTCCCTCCCCCTCCCTCTCCCCTCGCCTCCCCCTCGCCCCCCCCCCCTCCCTCTTCCCCCACCTCCTCCTCGACGAGAACCTCGGAGCGGCGGCGGGGCGGGAGGACAGCGGTGATGGGTCCCGCAGGTCGCCGGGCTGATCTCCGCCCGCCCCGGTGCGCTGGTGCTGCGGCAGTTGGTCGAGGGACTCCCCGAGGACTACGTCGCGCGCGTCCTGTCCGAGCTGCAGGGCCAGGCCGCTTCCCGCGCGCGTCCGCGGAGATTCCCAAATTTTGTAGTGGCGCCAGGCTCAGGGAAAGGGATGGGACTGGCGACGGCGACAGCGACGACGACGACAGCACCGACCACGACGACGACGAGGACGAGTCAAACGGAACAGCCTCTTCCACACGCCGACAGGGTCGGCGGATTTTGTAGTGGTTGTGGCGAGCTGGGGGGATCCCAAGTGTGCTTCCTCCCCCCTGGAGCCCCTTGAACCCGCCTTCTGGGGCTCTCTCGGGGCGCTCTCGGGGCAATCTTGGGCGCTCGTGGGGCTGCCTTGGGGACCTCTTGGGCGCCTCCTGGGGTCCTCGTGGGCCATCCTGGAACCATCTTGAGGCTTCGAGGCCCATCGCAAGCGAAACGGCGAGAAGGCAAAACACATTGAACAACACAGCGCTTGTGATCGGGTTTGGGCTTTTTTTTTGGGGGGGGGCCTTGGGGGCTCCAAGCCCACCTAGCATCATCTTGTGGCCTCTTGGAGGTATGTCGGAAGCTGGCTCAAACCATCTGCGGCTACCTTGAGCCGTCGTAGAGGCCAGGGATCATCGGGAACCATCTTGGAGCCGTCTTGGGCCCGAAGTGGGCCGTTTGACACACCGCGGGGGGGGGCCCGTCTAGACCACTTGGAGGGGCTACGGGGAGGGGTCCCCCCTCTGCTCGAAGGGGAAGAGCGGCTTTGGAAGAGGGATCAAAGAACTTGTCAGACCACCTCAGCCCAGAGGGCTGGTGGGATTGTTCGCGAAAGTGGCTGGGAATTATTGGGCGGCGACTGGAGAATTATCCTGGCGAAGGACCCAACCATATGCAGTTGTGGGTACCGCAGTTGTTGTGAATATCTTCTTCGATGAAGCTCCCTATGAGGCCACGAAGCGCTGCACTGGTTGGGGGAAAGCATGCGTGCGGTAGCACAGGGGCCGTCGGTGGAGCTCCCTACGGGGCCACGAAACGCTGTACTGGGTGGATGAAAATGCCAAATTGGGTGCGTGGGACGCATGCGGGCGGTCCCACTGGGGGCTTCGGTGAAGCTCCCTATGGGGCCACGAAGCGCTGCACTGGGTGGGGGGACCGCATTCAGGCGGTAGCACTGGGGCTGTCGGTGGAGCTCCCGATGGGGCCACGAAGCGCTGTACTGGGTGGGTTGAAATGCCAAATTGGGTGCGTGGGACGCATGCGGGCGGTCCCACTGGGGGCTTCGGTGGAGCTCCCTATGGGGCCATGACGCGCTGTAATGGGTGGGTGAAAATGCCAAATTGGGTTTCCGGGACGCATGCGGGCGGTCCCATTGGGGGCTTCGGTGGAGCTCCCTATGAGGCCACGAAGCGCTGCAGTGGTTCTGCGGGACGCATGCGGACGGTAGCATTGGGACTTTCGGTGGGGCTCCCTATGGGGCCACGAAGCGCTGCACTGGGTGTGCGGGACGCATGCAGACGGTAGCACTGTGACCTTCGGTGGACGCTCCATGTGGCAACGAAGCGCTGTACTGGGTATGCGGGGCGCACGCGGACGGTAGCACTGGGACTTTCGGTGGGGCTCCGTATGGGGCCACGAAACGTGTGAGAAGTGTGTTGAAACGAATGATGATGATGGTCATGGAGGAGGGAGGAGGGGGAGGAGGAGGGGGAGGTGGAGAATGCGGGGGCCGTTATATCAAAACGAGGACCCAACACCACAGGATGGTGGGGAAATGTGTATGATCTGCCAAACCAAGCGGGAATCGGGACACAACGGGTGTCGACGGAACGGAGCCGTCGCAGGAGGCATATCACCCCTTCCCAGGCAAGCCACAACTTTTGAGTTCAAGCCTTGCTTGGAGAAGCACTGCGGATTTGCAAATGGATGCTGAATGCTGACATGCAGCCGAAGCTCATTTGTTTGACCGAAGCGCGAAGGCTATGCCAATATTCCAGCGTGCCCACGAGCTCGCTTGCTTGGCGGTCGCGTGCGCGCGGCAGCGAACTGGGAGCGAGGGGCGTCGACGGCGGTGTTCGCCGGCGCGCGCGACGCTGCGGTGGAGCGGCACGCGAGAAGGCCCGCCTGCGCTTCGCCGCTGGCGCCGCGTCGTTTCTCGTGGCGCGGCCGCCGCGGGCACGCCGCACCGGCAGGGCGCGCGCTGGGAGGGCGCGGCGTCTCCGCGCCACGAGTGCGCGTCTGCTGGGCGAGGGGACGGCCCCGACGCGCGCGCGCCGTGAAGGCTTCGTGGTTCCAGTTGCATGGCGGACCGCCAGCCGCTGCCAAGAAATTCGATTTCCTACCAGAGAGCCAGCTCACCGTCCGCGCCAAGATGGCTGAGGACGACTTCGAGGAGGTTAGTACAGAGTGGGCGCCCAAATTGGTGGCGCGGGTCGCGGCGCAGCGTGGTCAACTGCGAGGCGAACCGAGTGCCGCAGCTAAGTCAGCCATGATCGAGCAGGACGTGCTGGCGGACAAGCGGGACAAGGCCCACAGGGCCTACGACAAGGCTCAGGAGAAAACCCTGGCCGCGTGCGCCCACGCAGCCAAGTGCAAAACCGAGTTGGCTCATGCGCAGGCAGCGGTCCAGGAGGCGTCGGCTAAGGCGGCCAAAGCCTACTCGGCCATCGCGGTGATGGAGGACCCCGTGCAGCAGCTCCATAGTCTGGTCGCCGCGGTGGAGCAGGATGAGCGGCTGCAACACGTGGCTGTTGGCCTTGCTGCTCCTGTGCAGCCTTTGCGCGACGCTGCTGGCTCCAGGTCCGAGGACGTGGCCATGGGTGGCGGCGACGGGGCCGGCGCAGGAGGCCGCGATGCCGAGGGCGTCGGCGATGCTCTTGCGTGCGCCGCCGCCGCCGCTCAGGCAGCTGCCGCCGCTGCCGCCGCGCAGGAGGAGCTTCGACGGGAGGCCGCGCGGGCAGCCGCGGCCGAGGCTGCCAAGCAGCAGGCCGATGCAGCCTATCCTGAGCTCCTGGCGTGGCTGGCAACGCTCAGTTTGATGGAGGTCTCGTCAACTCACTTGTTGAGAAGCACGGTGTCAAGCATTGGTGCTCACAGGATTAGTGTGGCCAGATGCACACTGCAGCTGTTGAGAAGTTCAAGTCCGCAGCCTCCGTTGCCAGTGATTCGACTGGCCTTTAGCCGCATCGAGTGGGCACTCGTGACCAGCAGTGTGACGGGCCTCGTCGGACTGGAAACGTTGCTCCAGAATGACAAGGTCCTAGCAAGTAGCGGCATATCGCTGCAGGAGCATCATTGTCTACAGGGACAAACGCATGAATAGGAGAGCAGGTTGTCGAAGCGTGGATGGGCCGCTTGCTTCGAGGCTGCTGGGCCGCAGGACACGGTGGATCGAGTGGCGGGGTTTGCGCACATGGTGCCCGCCGCTATCGGGCTGTCGGAGGTCGAGCACATTGTGCGATCATTGGTTCCAGGCAGAGTCTCGTTCATGCATTCCACCGGTATCGCGGGGGTTAGTTTCTCGTGGGTCAGCGTGTATCTCCACGGCGGCGAAAGTTTGTCGGCCAAGATATGGGGCATGCTCCCCAAGATCGGCGATGCCGTCAAACTCGCAGGCTTGCCCTTTATGTGATATCTGGAGATTTCAATATGAGTCCAGCCGAGCTGGGTGCGTCTGGTTGGCCGACGGCGCTGGATGCAACCATTTTGGCTCCAGCGGTGCCCACGTGCGCGATTTCCTGAGAGTCCAAGGCGAGAGTATTCAATTCTTTTGTCGTCTCGGACTCGCTTGTACATGGGGCCGAGACAGACGTGTTGATAAATGTTGCAACTTCACCGCGTTATCCTGATTGGCTTGCACTGCAGGTGCAGGCGCAATGTTCCGTGTGGCATCCGGCGGTTCGTGTGCCGCGTCGTTGTCTTGTCGACCTCCCATCGGGTGCTTGCGAGCTGATCCGAACGTTATCGTGAGACAGTCGAGCAGGCAAGCCTGGGCATCGATATGCGCTTGAAGCTGTGGATGCAAACGGCAGAGCTGGACCTCGGGGGCGCCGGTGACAAAGTGTGCGAGGACTGCCCAGAGTACTTCCTCAGAGCTGGGGCCCCATGAGGTTTCCCCGGATGCCGCCTAGGCCGTTTCCCATGAGGTTTGCCCGGATCTCCACCGCTGCCGTCTGGTGGCGGCTCCTGGCCAGGTGCGTCGCTGGATTGGGGCCCGCTCGGCCGGCTCCCTTATGCGCTTGTGCTCTGCGTCTTGCCAGGCGTCCCAGGCCCGTGTCCCAGGTCAGCGAAGTGTCCGAGGCGGACGCGTCACCCTGGCTTACGCTGTTATCGCTGGCGCGTGAATTGCCCGATGAGCTCGCCGAGGGCGCCTCGCGCGCCGCGAGCAGCGCGGCTGGCGGAGTTTCGAAGCGCGGCGAATGCGCAGAGCTCAGCGGGCGGCGACAGCGGTGCGCACTTCATAGTTGAGCGGGGTCGCGGCCCTTCATTCCCACGCGAAGCCCGCGCAGCCTTGGGCCCCCAGCTCAGTCGTTCAGGTGCAAGGGGCCAGGCGGCCCGCCACGGTTGCTGTGAAGATGGAATTGTTTGAGGCTGAGTGGGCGGGTCGGTGGGGGGTAGGGGCCCTTCCTGATTCCATCTCCTGGCCCTGCGGCATGGGGCCAAAGCTGCTGCCTCTCAGCCTGGCTGATTTCAAGAGGTGTACTTGCAGCTGTCCCAAGCATTCAGATTGTGATTTTGATTCGCTTTCCCCGCGACAGCTTCTGCGCCTTTCCGATGGAGTTCTGCTGGCTCTGATCGAGATCCTCGGGGAAGTTGGGGCGCGCCGCTCTTGGCCTCGCCTCTGGACCAAGGTCGTTTTTTCTCAGCAAGCGTGAAGGGGGCTCGCGTCCAGGGGCGGCTCCGACGCCCGCTTATCAAGAGATGGCAGGTCGCCGATGATCGGCCTGATTGGCGGTCGGCTTCAGGCCGCTGCAGTCGCGAGCTTGTCTGGGTCCAGACTGCCAGCTCGGAGTGGACATTGTCTCGAGGGTACTTCAGTGGTCGCGCGTTGCTCGACCTTCAAAA